TACACCCCCACAATACACAAGCGTCCAACACAGCCTAATGTCGACCCCATCACATCAGTAGCCCGTACCGTGAAATTTCTCATGACGGTGTCCTGCGGCCGGCCGTTATTCCCCGAGGATTTCGAGGTGAGTGAGCCTCGGCTGATGGAGCGGAGCTGCGGAGTGTTGGGTTGGCGGTTGTGTTCTCTGGAGAGTGGGGCTCTCTTTTTTGGCCGCAGAAGATCCCTGGACGTTTTGGAGTTGTCGGTGCAAAAGCCCATTTTGTTACCGAAGCCAAACAAGATGTTATGGATGGCTCGAGGCTGATCCTCTTGGTACCGTCTGTACTTTCGTAAACTGCGTGGATTCCCCCGAGCCAAACGCTGGACCCCTGTGACGTACTGCTTGTTGCCGCACTGTACGGAGTGCAGATAAAGGCGTGCAGGAAAGAGGCAGAACGACTCAGTAGCGATCAGCAGCAGCACGATCCCCCAATGATCTTTCTCTCCCGATCTGATGAGTATAAAAGCATGTTGTAATTTTACTGTCTTGCTGTGTTCAGCATATTTTGTCGCATTTTACCGTAATGCTGCATGACATCCCTTGCCCAGCCACCTAGGATTTCGACGGGTTCCCGAGGCGAAAAATCCATATCTTGTCAGGGATCCACGTTGTTCGCGGACGTCGTCGGCGCGAGAGAGTGTGCGATTTCGGGAGGGTACAGACTGCGATGTTTCTGGATAGTACCGTGAAGATTGCGAAATGGAGGTGTTGCGGCCAACGGGTGAATGGCCCTGGGCTGTGAGATCAGGGAGTTGACCGGTACCTGATGGATGGGTCATCGCGGGCTAATTTCGAGATGTTACCCATTCGATTGTTGGCATTTCTTGACTTCGACGTGCTTTTTTTGTCGATTTTCCCTCTTCCCTTCCTCTTGCACGCTTTTCGTACTTTTGATCCGTTGGGTGGAGCTGTAATTTCATCATTGTTCCACTTCTCGCCACTGATGCAGCTCGCTACTCCTCCATTCTTCTGTGTTTTGAGCTTCTCTCATCCACATAATTCCACGCACATCCATTCAAACGGATCTCGTATTGGCGGCCTCCACCACTTTCGCTTTTTTAATATTTTACTTGCTCTGACCAATGTTGCATCACCTGCTGGCCAATGTGCCGGTGATCCTGGCGTCCGTTTCGTCTCAGGAAGGCACTAACGGCTAAAATTTGGATATTTTCCCAAAGTTCTGGTATCATGCGCCTCAGATAGAACACTACATGCACACAGAAACACACACACGCACAAACACACACACTAAACCTTTAAGTTATCTTTGTCACCGCAGTGGTCGTACTGACGAGGTCCAATTGTGGTAACGATAAGAAATGTCTACGACTTAATGGACCGAAACATTTCTTACCTACAACAAATAATTTTATACTTCCCTTGCCTCCTTCCATTTTACTTCGTTCTCCTTTTCTTCTTTTTCCTTCTCCTCATTTTCTGCCTTACCTCGAAATAACTTCATTTGTAGGCAGTTGTTAGACGAATGTGAGATGAGGCCAAGGGTTAGTAAAAATAAATCATCAAAACGCTAGACACCACCCAGGTTCCCGGGCCTTGGTTTTGTAGGGGCTGGACAGTTCTGCTCTATAAGTCCGGCGATAGAGCAGATCCCCAGTACTATCGGCCCATAACATGCCTCAGTACTTGTTATAAAATTTTAACAGGGGCAGTATATAAGGCTCTCGGGGCACATGTCCGTACCGGCCCAGCAATGCACAAGTACTG